AAACCGTTTGCTTCTCTCGTTCGATACGTACCTGGTTCCCTCTCTTGCGGCTCTCCACCCTGGGAGCCTGGCTGTGAGAGCTTGGTTGCAGTGGCTTCTGATCTCGGCCTCTCCCCGAAACTGGGTGGTGGGCCAGGGAGTCCCCTGGAGCCCTGGTATGCAGCTATCCAGTGTCGCAGTTCGAGCACCACCCTATCTATAGCATTCCTCCCCTCCACCCCCCTCCCCCTCCCACTTGTTCATAGATCGCCCTCCCTGCTGCCATGTGCATTCCTCAGACACGAGCTCGCTGTCCACCAAAACAAACCCGACGCCCGCGTCGCATCGCATCGAGCCTGTTCGACCCTTGGCTAACACTACGAACCGCAGCTTGGCCGACGACGGACTGATATTGGAACGACACCTCACTTACATCGCCAGCAGAGGTGCCGAGGTGGACGCTGCTCCATCGACCCGACACTTGGATACGCCAACCGGTCACCGACCCGGACTGGCCAAACCCACACCAACTTGGAACTGCGCTGGACGACTCGACCCAAAGTCCAGTCATCTTATCACGGCACATGTTTTTCCCATCGAGCACCTGGCAGCAATAGAAATGCTGAGCGACGAAGCGGGCATGCGATCGAGCCTCCAGGTGGCGCCGTTGGCCGTCAAGGGGAGGACGGATAGCAACAGCCTCAGCGTGGACACGGGCTTCTCCGGGGACCGCTACTCACAGTCGCAGGTGACGCCGCCCGCCACGCCCAATGGATCGCAAGAGGACCTCAACAACTCGGCGGACACGGTGGCCCCCGTCTTCCACAACTTTCTGCGCGCCTTTTATCCTTTCCACCCGAGCTATGTCATGACCGACTCCACCGTCACGCTACCCCTGAGCGAAGGCGACATCATCTTGGTTCACTCCATCCACACGAATGGCTGGGCCGACGGGACGTTGCTGGTGACGGGCGCGAGGGGCTGGCTTCCAACAAACTACTGCGAATCCTACGACCCCGAAGAGATGAGGAATCTGCTCAAGGCGCTGCTCAACTTTTGGGACTTGCTACGGAGTACGTCTGCAACTGATTGCGAGATGTTTGGGAACCAGGAGTTCATGAAGGGCATCATTGTTGGCGTGCGGTCTCTGCTCGTAAGTTTGAAGTTCGTCTGAGCCCCTGAATCCGTCTAATGTTTGCGCAGGAACAAACAAGCTGTTTATCGAGGGAGTCTTTCACAGTGCAAAGACATGACGGCCTCCGACGAAGTCGCAAATCTCTCTTGTCTGAGCTCTCCTCCCTCGTCAAAACGGCCAAGAAGCTCCAGGAGACGCAAAAGCTGGTGGATGCCGACGACGAGATCAATGTCATAGTGGACGAGATGATCCTCAAGGCCTTCAAGATCGTCACCAAGGGGGTGCGCTTCTTGGACATTCTCGACGACGACAGGCGATCGAGGGCGTCGGCCCTTGGCATCATGGGCACGTTGCTGGAGGAAATGTGCGTGCCACCGACGCCACCGGCAGACTCGGCTGTCTTTGACGACACCAACGAGGCAGCGCGCGATGCAGACATCCGTGTAAACGAAAACGGGGACGCTGCCGAGCCGGCCGCGGCGGAACCTAGCGACGTGACACCAAACCCACCCCCTGTCAACAAGCGTTTGTCGTCTGTCTACTCGATGGGTACAAATGCGCACCGGCTGTCTCAGGGTAGCCGACCTTCCTCGACCATCCAGCACCGCGTCAGTGTTGCGTGCCCGTCACCCCTCCTCCAGCCGCAAAACCTGGTCTCGGGACATCTCACCTCTTGCCATGATCTCTTCCTGTCTCACCTAGGATCCTTCATCGGGCGCTTGCAGGTCCAGTCGCAGTCGCGCCCCCATCTCGCCCTGGCCATCAGGCAGTCTGTCTCGTCGGGCGGCCAGCTTCTCGTCGTGGTCGATGTCGTCTGCTCCCACAACTCGTTCAGCGACGACGCTCTGAGCCACGCTCGTGCCGCCATGTACGACCGCATCCAGGACCTCGTGCACACGGCGCGCGACATTCTGACCAACTCGGGTCCCGAAATGGAGGACCTCATCGTGCCCCAGGACAACGGAAGATTGCTGGGCGCCGCGACCGGCTGCGTCAAGGCGACTGGCGAGTGCGTCGCAAAGACCAAGTGGATCATTGAGCGGATTGGCGATTTCGAATTCGAGTTTGACGATGGCAGCCTGGGCATCGACTTTGACCTCTCGGCCCTGGACGTCATTGCGCACGAAAAGGCCCAGTCCGTCGCCGCCGATTCCGCTAGCATCGCCGAATCCAGCGTCTCGGACACGCCCACAGCGTCGACGGCCGTGTCGGCAACCTCGTCGGCCATGCCCCGGTCCATCGCCCTATCGGTCGACAAGCCGCTCCCCGAAGTGCCCCAAATTACATCACCCATGGAAGAGAGCTTCAGCATCCCATCCGCTGTTGCCTCGCGGCCAGTCTCTTTCGTGACCGACGACAATGCCTCGAGCATGGTTTCGTCCGTCGCCTCCCTCCGGGCCGCCCTTCCCCCCCTGCCCAAGATCACGACAACGGCGCTGCCTACCGAGGACTACAGCCCCACGGAGGCGTCTGCGACACAGGAGAGCTTCAGGTCCTTCCGCACCGAGAGCATGACCGCCTCCAGTTTGGGATCCGGCAGCACCTACATCAGCAGGGATTCAGAGTCCAGCCTCATGTCGCAGACATCGACCCGTGCTACCACGCCCGAAATGACCCAGGGGCCACGAAGCCAGCCATCCCTCTCCGAGCTCAGCATCGCCGAGAGCACGGTCCACGCCGAGGAGGTCGAGGACGTCGAGTTCAAGCTGCTCGAAAAGTCCTTCGTCCACGAGCTCATGTTCAAGGATGGCCAGGTTGCCGGTGGAACCCTGCCCGCTCTCGTCGAGCGCCTCACGACCCACGAAGCCACCCCCGACGCCATGTTTGTGTCGACCTTTTACCTCACATTCCGCCTCTTCTGCAGCCCCACCCAGTTTGCCGAGGCGCTCATCGACCGCTTCGACTACGTCGGCGAGGCGCCCCACATCTCGGGTCCCGTTCGCCTGCGCACTTACAACGCCTTTAAGGGGTGGCTCGAGTCTCACTGGAAAGACGAGACTGACAACGAGGCCCTCCCCCTGATCAAACACTTTGCCGAGTTCCGGCTGGGCGCTGTTCTCCCGTCTGCGGCGAAGCGCCTTGTCGAGCTCACAGACAAGGTCACGCTGTCGGACGCCACGCTGGTGCCTCGTCTGGTGTCATCGCTGTCGAACCTGAGCGCGACTGTGCCGGCCGATACACCCCTTCCTGCACCCATCACCTCGAGGAGCCAGTTGAACGCTCTGGCGGCCTGGAAGGCTGGCGGTGCGGGCCCGTCTATCCTGGACTTTGACCCGCTCGAGGTTGCTCGTCAATTGACCCTCAAGCAAATGTCGCTGTTCTGCGCCATCGTCCCAGAGGAGCTGCTCGGTTCCAAGTGGACCAAGCAGGCCGGTGCGAACACGCCCAACGTCAAGGCCATGATGGCGTTTACGACGGGTCTGTCGCACCTGGTCGCGGACACGATCCTGCAGTACGAGGAGGTCAAGAAGCGCGCCTCGGTCATCAAGCAATGGATCAAGATCGCCCACCAGTGCGCCCTTCTTCAAAACTACGACGCTCTCATGGCCATCACATGTGCGTTGACGGACACCAGCATCAAGCGGCTGAGAATCACCTGGGACAATGTCAACCTGAAGCGCAAGGAGATGCTCCGGAGTCTGCAGGCCATTGTCGAGTTCAGCCAGAACTACAAGGTTCTCCGGGCTCGTCTCCAGGAGCATGTTCCTCCCTGCCTGCCATTCCTCGGCATGTTCTTGACGGATCTCACATTTGTCGATGTCGGCAACCCCGCCACCAAGACCAACGAGAGCGGCCTGACGGTCATCAACTTTGACAAGCACATGCGCACGGCCAAGAGCATCGGGGACCTGCAGCGATTCCAGATTCCCTACCGCCTTGCCGACGTCCCTGACATGCAGGAATGGCTCTGGACCCAGATTGACCGCCTCCGCGACAAGGAAAAGATTGGCGCCAACGCTCAGGCCAGCCACTACCGCAAGAGTCTTCTTCTCGAGCCCAGGGAGACGCAATCGCGTCCCAGCACCGAGACGGCATCGATCGCCTCCTCCTCGACGGCCGCCAACGGCATGTTTGGTTTTGGATGGATCTCGCGAAACAACACGAGCACCAACCTGGCCGCTCAAGCTCAGATTTGAGAGCCCCCTATTACCTGGCATACTGGCTTCTCGGGCGCCATATGCTCATTGACGCAAGTCAATTGTTGCCCGCTTCCTTTGATACCCATCTGCATATCCTTTTAATTGCAGTTTTACGCACACTTCGGGCCTACACGATACCCGGATATCTATTCATACGCGGCGTCATCTTCAGCCAATGCCCTACCGTTGGGTCATCGTTGAACCTGCCGCCACTGCAGGCACATACGCATTCGCTCTTTTGACCCGGGCTTCCGGCGCAGCCCATATTTTCTTTACCTTGTCCCGAGTCACGATGGATACATCCAGGAAACACATCAGGAAACGGAGTTAGCGAGGCGTTTGGTCATTGCACGACAGGTGCATTGGAATGGAATTGGGAGGAGGTTGCTTTGAATTTTGGACTGGAAGGGATACCAGGAGTCTTGTATTTGCTATACAAAATCCCGCCGCTGCCCTCGCTGGGCTTGGTGCGCTGGGAATGTTGGGAGGGAGGGGAAGGGAGGAGGCCATACCTAGAAGGAGGATCGGAAAAGGAGGAGGTGAAGATACCCGGGCCAATAACTCTTGTCTATATTTAGAGGGAGCGGACTACAATGTGACAATACTGCGTTATTTTATGCCCCCGCTGGATGTGAATGTCGACTTGTGATTGAGTTGATGCTTGGTGTTCGATGTCTTGGAAGCCTCGAGGAGACGAGAGCTGCTACTGAAAAGGGGCTCAGATTGCAATGCATTCAACAGCTTCAGGGCAATTGGTCTAGGGGTATGATTTTCGCTTCGCATTGGCATTCCAAATGCGCCTTGTGAAAGGTCACCGGTTCGAATCCGGTATTGTCCAAAGTTTTGCCTGTCGTGGCAGGCTTCAAGTTTTGCACACCCACCCGCCGACGCTCAGCGCACAGAGAGAGAGCTTTCCCAGCGTTTTGACCAATCAGCGTCCGGGCAATTGGTCTAGGGGTATGATTTTCGCTTCGCATGGAGTATTCCACAGCGTCCTGTGAAAGGTCACCGGTTCAAATCCGGTATTGTCCATTCTCTTTTTGCTGCTTGTGAGTTGGCTGCTTATGAGTTGGGTGTATGTTATTTGCGCCCTTGCTGCTTGCTGCCTGCTTTAAACCTTCCTGGTGGTGGCAGCTCTGGTTGGGTTCCATTCTTCTCTTTTGCCCTCGACCGAGACTGCAAACTCCCAGACGTCACCTCCACCGACGAGCTTCTTTCAGCTTGCCTCGTCAGCTCGCTGGAGCTTATGTGAACTTCAAGGGCAGGCACCGCATCGTCACCACCTGGCAGCACCCTCACCAGACCGGACGCAGCTCACCAGATCCAAACAGGACGGGAGCACGAGAAAGCAAGCAGTACCGATCCAAAAATGCCCCGCTCAGACGAAGCCCAAGCCTTCTTCCACGCCGTCTACGCCGCCGTCCAGGAGATCCCGCCCGGCAAGGTCACGAGCTACGGGCACATTGCGAGGCTGGTGGGCGAGCGTGAGCCCCCCTGCCCTCTTCCCCTTCCATTGACGTGCCGGTGCTGACGCCGCCCGCCCAGCCCAGCGCCCCCGCCAGGTTGGCGTCTGTCTGAAGCACCTCCCGAACCTGGACGAGTGGAACCGCGTCCATGAGGACGAGGCGGAGGTGCCGCCGAGGTTCCACCACGGGAACGTGCCCTGGCAGAGGGTGGTGAATGCCAAGGGGGGGATTTCGCCTAGGTGGGTTTCCTCCTGTTTCCTTGAGGCGGTGGGGGGGTGTATGTAACTGACACCCTCAAGATCCCAGCCCTCGGCAACACTTAACCAGGCGACGGCGCTGGAGGCCGAAGGCGTCGTCGTCACGCGCGACGCACTGGGCGAGCTGTCGGTCGATCTCAAGACGTATGGGTGGTTTCCGCGGATCCTGCCGTCGGCGGCGGCAAGGGGGGAGGTAGCTGATGATTCTGGTTCTGAGTAAGGGGGGAGGGGCATACCTAGGTTGGGCATCATGATCTTGCCTCTGGAGGGGGATGTTGGCAGCGGGCATGGGAAGGGGGGTCAGACGTGAAGGGGAGCAATTTCGGATGTGTACTCAACACAAATAACATCCGGTCGTATGGTGTAGTTGGTTATCACGTCAGTCTAACACACTGAAGGTCCTCAGATCGAGCCTGAGTACGATCACATGAGAATTCGCGAGAATTCAGTTGTTTCCTTTTTGCAATTTTGCATCATCAGTGATGCTGAGTTTGGACTTTTGGAGTTCCCTCCATGGTCAGTTGGTGAGGCTAGCTGGCTGGCATGAGGAGGATCTTGCAGTGAAGTCTTGACCTTTTGAGTATGGCCTCGCTTCAGCGTGACTTCGATTTCGGGTGGTTGGGCAAACCAAGGTCGCCAGTGTTCTCCTCGGCCCTCCATGTCCTACCACATCGACCTCATTCTCGCCGTCTTCAACCAACTCGAGCTCGCGGAATTATGTGGACACCGGGCATCATCACGGACACAAACATGCCAGAGGAAGCAGATGTCACGATCAAGGCAACAGAAGTTATGGTTGATAATTTCATTAGGCCGGGTGAGACTATCTCAACCATGTCCATGCATGACCTGCCCCCATCCTCCATCGCAAGCTTCAAGATGAATCCTATACTTCAGGCAGTTAGCTTCCTGATTCCACACGAGAATGATGTCAAGTGAAGGAGGGTTGTTTCTCAGATAGCGGTTGGACATGTTTTTCCACATTGTAATTCGGTACAGGTCTGTGAATTTGTGTTTCTCATCATAAAAGGGGTAGTTGTGCAGTGCAAGAAGAAATAAACGTACCTTGGGGGAGAAGAGTCGAACCATGCTGCCAGGTTAGTTGCCCTTGGAATTGCCCTCAATCCTGCGCTTCTTTGCAGAAGGGGCGAGGAAGGCATCCATGCTTCGTTGTCGACTGTCAAACTGGGAACTGCCAATTCCTCCTCGGGTCTTCTTCAGACCGTCGAGATGGGTGGTCATGTTGGACCCAATCAAGACCAACTCAAGTCTTGATGGAATGGCGGGCGCCTTCCCTCCACTGGGAGGTTGCGGTGTTGCCACATTCCTGACCGCCATCTCGCAGTACCCCGTGTTGCTCCAAGAAGCCAGATATTCCGATCGGGCCGCTGCGGACAGCCTTGCCAACTCCTCGGGTGCGTACCGCATAAGCAGCACCCGCAACAACGAGTTGAGCAAGATGCCATGCGAAACAACAACCACGACGCCACGCTGACCAGCCCCTCGCGCCATCACCGGCTCAAGCTGGGTTCTGACGAAGGTGGCTGCGCGCACACGCATCTCTTCATGGGTCTCGGCATCCGCACGCGGAGTGCCAAAGCGTTTGCCCTCGGCCGACCCAAAGTTCCGCTCTCGAAGCTCGGGGACCTTGACGAGACGCACTTGCGCTCTGTCCGGCATGGCGAGGGAGAACGGCCCCTGATGTGGACTCTGCGCATCAATGATGGCCTGGGCTGTGTTGGCGGCGCGTTGCAAGTCCGATGAAAAGACGTGGGTGACTGAGCCAATCAATGCGGACCGCGTAGCGAGGTGGGAAGCGAGGCGACGGGCTTGAAGGACGCCATGGGCAGTGAGGGGGGAGTCGCGGACGCCTGCACTGGGGGCGGTTAGCATGGGGATGAGGGTTGTGAGAGCTTGGGAGCTTACTAGAGGCCAGCGACGTTGTCGACTGTCTCGCCATGACGGACGAGAAGGAGACGCATTGTTTCAGGTCATCCGCGCAGTCGTCAAGTGCCATGCATCGATGAGTGACAAGCCAAATCGCGAAGCATCATGGCTGGGACTCGTTGGGTTGGAGAGCAATGCTGCTTGGTTGGAAAAAGAGAGGAAGAAAATTTGGAGCGACGCAAATTTATGGACGCGACAGGCAGGTGGGGCCCGCTGCGTCTTACCGCCTTGCTGCACTGGCAGAATGTACCTGTAATGTGGGGCCCAAGCTGACGCTTCGGGTTCGACACGGACTCTCAACAACGACATGACCCTCAACGCAGGGCAAAACATCAGTGCATCATTGAACAAGAAAAAGGGACGGCCATGGAAAGTTCCACGAAGAGAAGCGGACTACGCTACTTGCTATCAGTAGTCCACTCTTGATTCTCCTGAGTAACCGGGTTCCTCAGACCAGTCTGGTATGTCGCGTTGGAAAAGACTTGCCACGGCAAAGACGAAAAGCTATGTTGTTTTCTACATTGCTGGAATTCATGAGTCGGCGGCATTGAGCATCATATTCGGAACACTGTCGATGAGAAACCCTAACCAAAGACGCAGTCCAAAAACTTAAAAAAAGATCTCCCCCAACCCAACCCCCACTCTTCCACAAGCCCCCTCCCATTCAAACCCTTGACCCCCACCCCCACCACCCCCCATCACCCCCCTACGCATCCGGCCCAAAAAACACCCTCGGCCAAATATTCACCGCATGCTTCGTCCCCCCCACCACCTCCAACCCAGCATGAACAACCCTCTCATCCCCCCTCCCCGTCTCCCCCTCCAAATTAACCCAAAGCAACGCATTCCCCTCGGCCGCCCTCACCGCGACCCCCCCCTCCTCATGCTCCCTCCACCACCCCCCCTCCCCGGGCGCCGGCGCCTTCACCCTCGGAAACCAAGTCTCCCCGCTCCCCTCACTGCAATTACTCTGCACGACCACAAAAACCGTCGCCACCCTGTTATACATCCGCCGCCTCCCGCTCCCCCGGTCCTCGTCCAGCACCCGCGGCTTCCGGAACCAGTCGGTGTGCACGTCGAACTTTTGCCCCGGCGTGTACCGCACCAGCTGCGGCGCGCCGCCCATGTCGTCGCGCCCGGGGACGAGCACGGAGCCGAGCACGGAGCGGGCGCGGGCGAGGAGGCAGGTGACGGTGGTGTCGGCGAGGGGGAGGGGGGCGGACCACGAGGTGCGGGCCTGCGGGTTGGAGGCGGCGGAGGCGCCGACGAGGGGGGACGGGGTGAGGAGGGGGGTGGCGAGGTCGATGAGGTGGGTGTTTTCCGATGGGGTGGTGAAGTTGGTGAGGAGGAGGAGGAGGGGGGAGAGGGAGAGGATGGTGGTGCGGTGGAGGGAGGGGGGGCAGGAGGGGGGGGCGGGGGGTGGGACGGGGGTCGGGAGGAAGGGGAGGCGGGATAGGAGCGTGGTGAGGTGGGGGGTTATGAGGGGGTGGGTTGTCAGGGCTGAGAGGTGGGGGGTGAGGAGCGGTCCGATGGTGGCGCCGAGGAGGACGGCGAGGGAGAGGGCGAGGAGGTTGCGTGGTCCTGACATTTTGGCGGATTTGGTGGTGTTTTGGTTGGTGGTTGATGGTTGGGAAGCCCCTGAGTGTTTGTTTACTTTGCCCATTGTGTCCTGGGGCTGTGGCGGATCGATTGTGTGTGTGGTCGACGCTGTGAATTGAAGATTTTGGAGATGAAGAGGACAGCTTGACGATGGTGTGTGCATCAAGAGCCGCACGTTTCGGCACTCGGGTGACGGATAAAATGTTCTTGGTAGCGAGCTCCGTCAGAGGTGGTGTGGTGTTTTGGTGCGGACATATTAGCCGCAGCTTGGCATCCCGATTGCCACTTGATACGTGATACTCTTGCGGTGCAGTCTGCTCGACGTCGACCTGAACATATTTTCCCGTGATCCCACCACGGCCCTGGGGGTTGACGATGTAAGTAAACATATTGTATGGAGCGGGCTGGCCATATTGGTCCCCTTGGGGATTAGAGTTGAGTAATTGTTACCCCTTCGCTGTACAACAACCGCACGTCGACTCTTCGCCGTTGGTATCATCAACGCCATAGACTAGAAACAGCACCCAACCGGAAAGGACGGCCTTTAAACACACCACCTTTCCTCAGCATCACACGCAAGACCAACACTGGTCCCACCCGATCACACATCCCGCTCCTTCTCCTGAACGCGCCCCACCGTCGGCGCGACACCCCCCACCGTCTCATCCGTGTGCTTGAGATCCTCCTCCAGGGGCACAGTGTCCTTGATCTTCATCCAAATCACCGGCGCCGCAAAGACGAGAGCACCCGCGAGCAACCCCCA